TCTCTCTCTCTCTCTCTCTCTCTCTCTCTCTCTCTCTCTCTCTCTGTCAGTCTCTGCCTCTGTGTGTGTGTTTCTCTCTAGTTTCTCTTGATGTGGTTGGCATAACGTTATGCTCTTGCATGCCTTTACCCTTCTAAACCCATCTGTGTCTACAAAGCAAGGAGAGCCTCATTCTCTACACACACCTTCTGGGATCCCACCAGGACCACCCTTTCCTGGGGTTAGCTATTCATTCCATTCTTAGCATCTGCAAACATGAAATGGTCCCTCAGAAGCCCCAAAAGCCTTGTGTTCTCCCAAGGATTCCATCCTGCTCGGCACAACACTTAGCATCTAATTTTAGGAATGCCTCAGGCCTTTTTTTTTTTTTTTAAAGCCCAGGCCTCTTTAACTTTTTTTTTCCTTGAATGAGAAGAGGATAAGAAGGACAGCTTGGTGGATAGACACTGTTGGAAGGGGAAGGAAGCTGAGAGTGAGCCTGTATAGAGTAGGGGTAGGCTGGGGAGGGGGGTTGTTCAGACCTGTAGCAGAACTCTGGTTAGAGAAGCTTCTGGATGCTTTGCCCTGCGGAGGAGGACTGGATAGCAGCCAGTCTACCCCAATCTCTCTGAGAAACCAGTGGTCCTTGGGCATAGCTGAACCCTTGACACTGGACTATGACACAAGCAAATCCAGGCTGTCTAAAGTATGGATTTGCTTGTGTTTCATAAATTGAGAAAACCAAGACCAAATGTCCTAGTATTCGATGAAAAATCACACCTTTTTTTTTTTCTGATATAAAAGAAAGACCTTACACTCTTGTCAACATGAGAGGCACCTGTGCAGAGGTGAAGCATGATGGAGGGAAAATTTAGGGAAGAGATTTGACCTCGTTTTTTTCCTCTCAAGAAACCTGGTGTGATATTCAAGTGTGCATTTTGGAGCCATACTCTAGGGACGATAGTCAGAAAAGTCAAAGGAACAAAATGTGAAACCCCCTCCCTCCAAAAAAGAAAAAGAAAAAAGAAACACAAATATAGGCCAAAGACTTAGGAGAACTGGGTTGTCTGGGACCCTTTGCTACAGACCCAGACAGTACCTTCCCAGACCGTTTCTCCCTGACATTCCATCTCCTCCTACCTGATGGTTTCAGAGCACTTGTAAATGGGACCACGTGTTCTCAGGACATTGTAAGTTACCTTTTGCTGTGTAACAAATCCCCCCACATTTAACACCCGAAAGCAATGAAGACTTGTTATCTAATAGTGTCTATGGTTGAGTCAGCTGACCTTAGCGGCTCTGGTCCAGACTGTCTTGTGAACTCAGTCGGGATGCCAGCTGAGTTGCAAGTTCATGAAGTCCTGGCTGGAGCTAGAAGATAGCCCTCTCCACGGTAGTGAGACTCTTATGTGACCCAGATGAAACTGCCTCTAAGAGGGAGTTAAAGAATGCAGTCGCTGTGGCCAGCAAGCTGGGCCCTGGTTTTTGCAGAGTTCTGCTACCTTCACCAAATAAGAAGAGACTCAGACCAGAGCCGGGGGGCTGTGGCCAGGGGCAGGCCTAGGTCTGGAGATGGGGTCAATCTTCCTTGAACCACAAGTATTGAGAGTAGAAGATTTTGAGAGTAGGTGATTTTCAGAGCGTGGGGGGAGAGAAAGAGAGACAGACAGACAGAAGTTTTATAAGAAAGGTAAAGGTGTCTGGAGGACAGTCTAAAATAACAATTGCATTACCCATTTTGCTTTACCACTGAGCAAGCCTGTCTAATCCAATAATGATGGAAAAGGATGGCAGAGTGAGAACAGTAAACAGTAACCAAGCCTGTTGCTGTTCCTTCCAGAGTTTTCCTTCCACGCCTGCCTCATCCCTCACTCCTCATCACTAAAACAAGACCTCATACCCAAAGCAAAACCTAAGATCCATCAGGCCCAGGTTCTGTCCTGAATCAAAATTGCCTCATTAGCGCTTAGAAAAAGTCAACCCTAATTTATAGGATGATCCAAAAGAGAACCCGGGAGACAGCGGAGTGTCTCAGCGAGTAAGGGTGTTTGCTGCCAAGTCTGACGACCTGAGTTCAAACTCCAGAGCCCACGTGTTGAAAAGAGAACACAACTTCTACAAGTTTCCCTCTGACCCCCACCGGTATGCATGGATGAGCACATGCTCAACCCACAAAACAAACAGTAAATACAAAAGAGGACCTAGGCCTACAGCAAATTAAAGCAAGAGACCTTGTCCAGGCACTTTTTCTTGACTAAGAGACTCTCCCTCATTTCCTCCTCTGTGACTGGCTAAGCCATTGTCCCATGAGGACTCTAACATCCTTAAACACCAACATCCTATCGTCCCATTAAGAGGAACTTGGAGGAAGGTGGCCGCAGAGTTTGACATGTTTTTGTAAATAGGCTGACGTTCGCATTGCAGGCGTGGCGGAAGTATGACACAGACAGAAGTGGCTACATTGAAGCGAATGAGCTCAAGGTATGATGGGCCCTAGGGATGGCATAGAGGAGGGTAAGGTTGTACGCACCAGGAGCCACCCCCAAGGCCTTTATGGTCATACCACAGATGTTAAGGGGCTAGGGAAGTAAGAGAAAGGTAAGCTGTGCAAATGGTGGAGCTTAAAAATCAGCTTTGATTGTCTAACTGAATAAGGAAGTGAGTGAATAAGATGGAGGATAAGAGTAAGGCCAGAGTCTTGGAGGGTCTAAAGAAGTAGGAAGAAAAGGGGATGTTGGATGAGTAACAGGGGCTTGTGGTCTCCTTAGGGATACTTGATCTTCGCATAAATATTAGACTTCTTTGGAGACATTCTGTCTCAGCAACAGAGGGCAGGGCCAAGCATTCAACCAGACCATACTCTTCTGCACCCTAGGGTCCAATATAGGTACCCTTGAGGAAATTCTGCAAGACTGGCTATCTAACTTGAACATGTACCCTAATCTCTCTGGGAAACCAGTGGTCCTTGGGCATAGCTGGGCCCTTGACACTGGACTCTGAGTAGTAAGTCAAAGCCAGTTTCTATGGGCAAGGTTGTATGTACCCAGGAGCCACCCAAAGGCCTTTATGGTCATACTACAAATGCTAAGGGGTTAGGGAATTTAGAGATGTAAGCTGTGTAATTGGTAGAGCTCAAAGAGCAATATAGATTGTCTAAATGAATGAGTAAGTGAATGGGTGAGGGGCTAAAGGAGCAAGCCGGGCTCTGAACAGGTCTTTGGTGTCCCAGGGATTCCTGTCTGACCTCCTGAAGAAGGCCAACCGTCCCTATGATGAACCTAAGCTCCAGGAGTACACCCAAACCATAGTAAGTGATAGCATTGCCCTTCTAGTGGTGTGGAGCATGGGCCCTGAGTCCCCTAGGATTCTAGTGTGTGGGGTCCTTTCTCTGCCTGTGTTTCAGACTTATGTAAAGTGTCTCATGACAGCAAGTGCAAGCTCATAGCTCTACATGCCCTTAGAGGTGCTATCCCACAGTGATACTGGGGTAGGGGGTTCTCTGTTTCCATGGGAACTGATAGAGCTCCCGGAGAAGATGAAGCTCAAGAGGGCGGGTCTTTGGTGATGGCTGTCGTGTTTCACCACCCCAGAGATAGCAGGTCCTGAATCGTCAGTGTCTCCCACATTGACTGACTTAGACTGTGCTGGTCCCCAGCTTCAGGTGACCCCAGTGAAAACGATGGCAGGCGGAGACCCTTATGTGAGAAGGTCAAACAGATAACCCAGCTTCCTCTTCCTGTCCCCAAACAGCTACGGATGTTTGACTTGAACGGAGATGGCAAACTGGGTCTCTCTGAGATGTCCAGGTAAGCACTTTCCCGCCCCTGGGAAAGTGTCACTTTGAACAGGCTCTTGTGTGGCTGTGTCCATCTGAGCCCAAGACAAAAGCTAGAACTGGAAATCTTGCTACCACATTTTTTTCCATTTCTCTCCTTATTTATTTATTTATTTTTTTAACATTCCAACCAACCCCTGATTATAAAGTGCTCAGCGATGGTTTCCATAGCTACAGATGCTGCCTCTCTGCCCTGCTCCTCACTGGAGTAGCTGCTGCCCGTGGCACATCCTCTCATCTCAGCTCTAATGTTTCCTTTCCAGACTCTTGCCTGTACAAGAAAACTTCCTGCTGAAATTCCAGGTACGAACATTGCTTTGTTTTCTTTTGGCTCCCTCCGTTCCCGTCATTTCTCTGAGCGTTAGCCTTCTGCCCTCCATTGCTGCAATACACACACACACACACACACACACACACACACACACACAGGGTTAACTCAGACTTCTGTGATTTCTTACCCATTTCCCCTCACTCTCCCACACTTATACTTTGGGGCTTTGTTTCTTTCTTTAACTCCTCTTTGGTCTTTCCAGGGTATGAAGCTGACCTCAGAAGAGTTCAATGCCATCTTCACGTTTTATGACAAGGTGAGAGGCAACAGGATGGGGTGGGAAAGCAGGGGGCCTGTCACCTGTGGTGGCAGTGGCCAGAATTGCTTGGTCCGTAGAGAGAGACCGGCTTTCCAGAGGGGCCACCTGAGCTGTTGTTTCTTTCTTCTGCTATGTGGGAAGACAAATGGCATTCTTTGATTCCTGACCTACAGACGCTCACAGATTTGATTTCTTACAAATGTAGTAGAAAACAATTAATGGAAGAAGGTTGTGCTCAGAGACGGGGTGTGGTTGTGATGGATGGAGCCAGGTCATGATATGCCAATATAAATGGGTTTTGTTTGGTTGCGTTGGTTTTCAAATTATTATTATTACTAGTATTATTATTACTATTATCATATTATTATTATTATTATTATTATTATTATTATTATTATTATTGGTTTGGTTTCGATTTTGAGACAGGGTCTTGCTATGTAGTCTGAGATGCCTTTGAATTGTTCATCATCCTGTCTCAGCCTTTTGAGTACTGGAATGACTGGGTGTTTATGCCACCATACATAGCTCAGAAAGTTATTTTCTGGGTCTTTGGGAGTGAGAATCATCTCCTAGCCTCACCCCAATCTTAGCTGACCCCCGCCCATGTGACTCCTTTATAATGAGGGCGTGGGAAGTTGACTTAACAGCTCTATTCAGTTACCTCTAAGCTTCTGCTTACAAATATAACCTCACTTATGTTTGTAATGCAAATAAGAACCTCGGCCAGGAAAGGAGGCAGGGGTGTGTTTGAACTGCATGGTTCTTGTATTGACTGCTGTTAACAGTGTAAGTGCATTATTCTGTCCTTCTGTGGTCTGAACACTTCTCTTTGCAGAAAAATGGGGAGGTTAGACACTCCCTCTACACACACACACACACACACACACACACACACACACACACACACCACACACACACCACACACACACCACGGAGTTCTTGAGACCAGAACTTGACTAGAGCTGCGTGGTCAGGCTGACTGAGGCCTGGAGTTCAGAGCCCTGTGCTGACAACCCTCTGCTGCCACCCTCAGGACGGAAGTGGCTACATTGATGAGCATGAGCTGGACGCCCTGCTGAAGGATCTGTACGAGAAGAATAAGAAGGTGAGGAAATGAGCCCGGGAGTGCGTTAGGGCCCCAGGGCTGGGGGAGATGGACTCAAAGAGAAAAAGGAGGCTGGATTCTTTTATCTCCGACCCGTGGTCACAGGACAGTGGTAGTTGGAGGGGTGGGGCATCTTTCCCAGGTTGATTTAAAATATGGGTAACAAAGTCTGTCAGTGTAAAAGACTATATGCCCTTGTCGTACCCAACACATTCATCACACTGTGTGGCCATCTCCATAACCTTGTCCTGTAAAGCTGAAACCCTATACCCATAACCCAGCTCTCCTGTCTTCTCCCCGCCGTTCTACAACCTACGTTCGTAAGTTTCACTGCTGCGGGAACCATGTAGAAGCAGAATTATTTGATCCCTTCATGGCTGGCTCATTTCTCCCAGCATGCCGAACTCCATTTAGAGCTGAATGCTGAGGCCTTTCTCGTGTAAACCCTCTTGTCTACCCATTTGCCACCTACGCCCACATGTGTTGGCTGTTGTGATTGATGACAATGACAGAGCCCATTCTGGAGAAGCGTCAGCCAAATGGCCATCGTGAAAGACTTAGCACAAAGAGATATGCTGGAGGGCAGAAGCCAACAGGGTAGAGATTGTTCCAAATTCATCAACTGACAAATTTAGGGCTGGAGAAGAAGGTAGAAGTGGATCGCTGAAGAGTTTATTTCTCTCAAAGTAAAGGCCGAGAAAGCCAGTACCGCCTCTCAGGAATCCTCCAGAACACCTTGGGCCACTCAGTCTCACCTCCGTACCCTGGGTGGGAGGGATCAGGTAGAACGGTGACCAGCCTCTGCAGCTGTCTTTCTTCACCTGCCAGAAGATGGCTTTCATGGAGAAAATGACTGCTGCTTTGTTTAATTAGGTGGCAAATGCTCTGTAATTTCTAGAGCTGTCTAACTGCCTCGGCTGCCAAATAAGAGCTAAATTTAATGCTCAATTTCAGGAAAAAAAATTTTCACTGCAGCCTCTGGGTCCATTTGTCTCTCTTTGAAATTACTTTTTGGTCTCTCTGGCTTCACCCTGAGTATCAGTCTTCGTTGATTTCAACCTTCATTTACATTTTAATGTGGCCTATTCGTGCATTGGGTAAGAAGAGTCCAGGAGTAAGTGATAAGGATTCAAATAGTTCATAGGAAGAAGAAAGCCTTCACCAGAGCCAATACTAAAACTCAGTTAAACCTTTTTCCTGACAGTGTGTCCCAACAGAAAATCACTTATGTAGCCATATGAATCAAAAAAATCAGAAAATCACTTATGTAGCCCTTCTCTAACAAATGTTAGGAAGCCGAAAGAAAACCCATCGTTGACCTGAATTGCATCAAAGAGGCACAATTAGACTTTATAAAGCCACGCCTAACACTTGAGCTTGGTAAAAACTATTTACACATGCATGCACCCACCTCAGAGTGACCTGCATGTCATGGTCATCAACTCACTGGGCTCTTTTCTTAGTCAATATGAAGAACAAAGAATAGAGCTGTGCAGGTCAGGCCCTGGATGTGCAGACAAAAGCAAGGAGTCTGGCGCTAGAATTTGGAAGCAATGCTGAAGGTTGAGGAGCAGGGCATTAATAAGGCTGTTCACATGGAAGCCTTCCACATATGTGACAGGCCCCAGACTTGGCACCTGGGCATTAAGAGAATGAATGAGCAAATAGAAGGAGAGCTGCATGACTAAATTCCAGCCCCTGAGCTGGGAAGGGAAAAGGCCACTTTAGGTGAGCTCACATAGCAGGTGTGGCCTCATTTTAGTGGTGCCTGCATGGGCTGTGGTAAGCTTTTTAAACAGAGTGCTGCTGGGGGCTCTTGAAGGGACGAGCTAATGGGACCAGACCTCAGTAGTTCTCAACATTCCTAAGGCTGTGGTAGCTCCCTAAGGCCTTTCCCGGGCTTTGAACGGAACTCCAAGACGTAAAATTAGGCTGTCGATCCCTGCCATGCTTCCCCCTGAAAATATTCTTAAGCTTGGGTTGTTATGACCCCTCAAGGGGTCCCTGCCTTGATTCCTAACTGAGTGATGGACAGTTGGGCACATACTCTTCCCCTAGTGTGTACAAGTTACATGACCTTCTAAAGAACTTTACAACTTTAGAGACAATGTTCCTCAATCTAGAGGTGCTTTCAAAATGCCTTTGGGTGGGGACAGTGGCGTAAAACTAGGAATTACTGTTCTGAGAGATTGTCTATGAACTATATAAGAAAAACGCCTGACAGCTGAGCCCAAGAGAAAAAGCACAGAACACAGGTAGGCCAGGTAAGTAGGTAGAGTTTGGGCTCTGGGAACTGAAGATATTTTTGATGAGGTGATCCAGCCTTTTAGTAAGTGGCTTAACCTTTATCCTTCTGTTTTCTCATTGGTATAATTGAGATAAGGAACCATCAACCTGAGAGGGAAAGGGTATTTTTAAGATATCTGCCAACATTTACCACAGGTTTAAAAAAAAAAAAAAAAGACTAAGAAAGAGGGCTTGGAGGCATAGTTTGGCGATACAGTATTTGTCTAGCATTAGAAAAGGCCTGGCTTTGAACCCCAACAATGCAAAATAGTAATGATACTCAAGATGAGCAGAGTGGAGGAAATAGGAAGGGAGAGGAAGAGCAGGGGAGGAGGAGAAGGAAGAAAAGAAAAAGATGGCCATTTCCCTTACTGTGGTGGCCTTGCTTTATGTCAGACCCGCTGGCCATTTGTATGGAGGCAGTTACCTCTTCAACATAACGACTATCAGGTATTAGTCCTCTGCTTATTTTTGGCCTCCAGGGTATATGGACCATGGGCATACATTTGTGGATTCTCTACCTTAGTGGTCCCTAAAGACCACAGAAGCCAGTGCAAGAGAGCTGGTGAGCTTTGTTGCTCAGGGAGACAGAGTTCCTTGTGAAAATGGAGGCAGCTCAGGGACAAAGGATCCAGGAGGCCTAGAGGCAGGACCAGGGAGCTTGCATGGCTTCACCTCCATTACCTGCAGAGACCCAGGTTTGCCCTGAGTAAGTGGAGTTGTAGGGAGGTGGAGGAGTCGATGTGAGTCATTCAGAGACCATAACAGTCACCACGGTAGCCCCATCCTCTGGACCACTGGCCTTCACCATGCCTCCTTGAGGCAAGAGTTAGTGATGTTCCCCTTTTCCAGCTAAGGCGGCTGAGCCCCAGGAAAGTGGGCTGTTTCCCTCAAAACAATGTGACCAGTAAGTGAGAGAGAGAGAGAGAGAGGGTCTTAACCCAGGTCTGCCTGACTGTAAACCCCATGCTTTTTGTCCCTCTCGACTGCTTACCGTAGAGTGAAATGGGAGGCTGGTTTGCGCAGTGTATGTGTGTGTGTGTGTGTGTGTGTGTGTGTGTGTGTGTGTGTGTTCGTGCGTGCGTGCGCCCACGCGCCAGTGGCTGGGAGGGGGATGGGCAGGGGGCTCCTTTGGGCAAGATCACGCGCTAAGCAGTCTCTCACCCTTTTCTTCCTCCTAGGAGATGAACATCCAACAGCTAACCACCTACAGGAAGAGCGTCATGTCCTTGGCTGAGGCCGGGAAGCTCTACAGAAAGGACCTGGAGATTGTGCTCTGTAGTGAGCCCCCCATGTAAAGGGGTGGAAGGACAGGGGCTGCTTCTGCGACTCCCCTCTAAGCCCTGCCCCCACTGTCCTGCCTCTCTGACACTCCTTCCCAGATCTAGAGAGCAAGACCTCCCCACCCCACCCCTGCAACCTGCACACACCAGCCTGTAGAGCAGGAAACGAGAGATGGAGAGCAGGTGGCTGATAGCATTCCTTTGAGCTGAACCAGCCCAACCCTGGCCAGATGGACAGTTGTGCCTGCAGCCGTGATGGATCGTGGGCGGGACATAGGTGGCGCTTCCCTAGTCTCTTTGCTGTAATGCATGAGCTCCCTCACTGTATGATTTAGGCTTCTGAGTCCAACAGGGTAGACTCCACCCTTTTGCCCCCCCCCCCCCCGCCGCCTTTCTTCCCAGGCCACCACTGACCCTGAATTTCCAGGTTCTGCCCACTGGCTTGCTAATGATGTAATTGTCTTCTCAGAGCTCCTGTCGAGGGTGACTGCCCTCTTCTTGTATTCTTGACTCCTGTGTTCCTTTTATCTTCGGGTTTCCTGTCTTCCTGTTTACCAAAGAAGAGTTTACAGAGAATAAAGTGGAAATGTTCTGCCGTGGACACTCACCCTCTTCTTGTCATGGGCAGTGTTTCTGTGGGACAAAGGGTGGGGGGTCTGCTGTGGGGAAGGCGAGGGGCACTGAGGCTACCTAATTAGGGGTTAGGACCCCCTTAAGACTCCTCTGGGTGTGGTGGCACATGCCAGGAAGATCGGGAGCTCAAAGGCATCCTTGTGGCTACAGTGGATTTAAAGACAACCCCTCCCCCCCCAAAAAAAAAAAAAAAAACAAAAACAGAAATGAGGCTCTAGTTGTGAGGGCTCAGCTGGGAAAGTACTTTCCTTGCAAGCACAGGGACGTATGTCTGACCCCAGAACCCAGGTCAAGATGGCAGGTGCTTGCCACTGCAGAGAAGCGGGGCAGAGCCAGGATGATCCCTGTTGGGTTCTGGCCATCTACTGTAGACCAATCAGATAGCCTGTCTAAAGGGAAGTGGGTGGCATTTCTGAGGATGACACCTGATGTCCCCTAGCTCCATGGACACACACAACTATTTTTTTTTAAAAGAAGACACTAAAACACTATGGCTTTCACTTACTATTTGCTTTCCTATTGCTGAGATAATCGCCATGACTAAAACCAACTTGGGGAGGAGACAGTTTCTTTGGATTAAATGTGGCAGTCGTTAATCGAGGGAAGTCATGACAGGAACTCAAGGTGGGAACCTGGAGGCAGGAATTGAAGCAGAGTTGCTCTGTTGCTTCTTATAGCTTGCTCAGCTTTATTTCTTTTACGGCTTGGGACCACCTGTCCAGGGGTGACAACATCCACAGTGGCCTGGGCCTTCCTGCATCAATTGCTTTGTTTGTTTTCAAGATGTTTCTCTGTGTAGCGCTGGCTGTTCTGGAACTTGCTTTTTAGGCCAGGATGGCCTCAAACTAACATAGCTCTGCCTGCCTCTGCAGCCTCCCTCCAAGTGCTGGGAGTAAAGGTGTATGCCCACCATGCCCGGCCCCACGTCAATTATTAACCAAGGAGATGCTACAGGATTGTCCACGGGCAATGGGGTAGTTCCTCAGCTGACAGTCTGCCCAGGTGACTCTAGCTTGCATCAAGGTGACAGACACTAACCAACACATTTGTCATTGCTCGCTTGTCCCTACACCAAGCTGAATCGTTTTTTGTTTTGTTTGTTTCTATATCTCAGATTATGTTGTAATAGCAGTTTCTAGTTCGTTGAGGCTTTCTTAACTCCGAGTCATCATACTGGATGGGTTGCTTAGACACCCCCCCCCCCTTCATCCTTTAAGAGAGATGCTGTGATTCTAGTCTACGGTCGGAGCAACTGGAGATGAATACTGAGAAGTGACTTTACACTCCATGGCCGATCGGGAGCTGAGCCAAGGTCTGCCTCTAACAACCTGGATGTGGTTCTAAAGCACTGCCTCCCTTGTAGGAGAGAGACCCATGGCATGTGCAAAGCATTTACTTTTAACCTCAAAGTGAAAATAGCCCAGGAGCAGCTGATCAGATGCCCCTTGCTGTAACATCAGCTTGGCCTTTGGGTCCACAGAGCTATCTGAGATCCTAGAATAGAGGGAGAACTAGTTGTTTAGACTATTCTTGTTTTTCTGAAAGATTCACTTTAACAGCGCTGCTTTAATTAATCCCCAACGATTCTATGGGACAGATACAGCACAGATGAACAAATTAAGGCTCGGAGACATTGAGTAACTTGTCCAGGGCGTTATAGCTCCTGAACAGCAGTGAGAGGTTGCACTTGGCTGCCCCCTGTGGAAATGTCCAACTGTTTAATATCCAGGAGCCCATCTGGAGAAAGAGACAAAAGATTCTAGCCACAAGAATCAGATGTAACACTCATTTCTCAGCCATACCCATTTCTGAGAAGACCTAACCCTGCTCACAGAGCAGATGGCCCAACCCAGAGAGCCACCTGACTTGACCCTCCCCTGTACCTGACCGGGCATGTGCAAACATCTGATCCCAGGTTCTGGAATTTGAGGCTGAGACCCATGATGCCAGGAAGGAGGTGTCATCTTGAGCTGGGTAGATGTGCGGCTTTGAGACTAGAGGTGGTTCTGTGGTTGAGTTTGGATGCTGGGAAGAGCAGAAACTCAAACCTTGGAATAGGAGAACAGTCAGCCAATAGTGAAGAAAATAGTGGAAAACAAAGGTGAGAAACGAAAAGCCAAAGAAGGATGAAAGGGAAGAAAAAACTGGAGGAAGGAGGTGAAGGAAGGTAGAATAGAAAGAGGGAGAAAGGGAAGAAGAAAAAGGGAGGAAGGGAGGGAAGGAGGGAGGAAGGCAAAACGGTGGCATGAGGCAAGCTACCTAGCAGTCTCTGTGCTCCTCTGGTCTTCGGCTACTGTCTCAATGGAGGAGGAACCACCATCCACACTGTGACCTCATTGCTCTGAGCTTCAGCCCAAAGCCCCACCCTGGGCAAGATAAATGGAGCAGATGCCTTAGGATCTATAGGACACAGAACTGGGTCCTGTCTGGAGCTCTGCACCAGGCTGCTGAAGCCCTTTCCCTGGAACATAGACTCTGTCGGAGGGGAAAGCTGTGCTCTCTTGATGCTGTGGTCTTCCCAAAATAAATTCTGTTGGTTAACCCTGAGCAGAAGCATTTGTGCACCACCACCACAACAACAAAAGAGGTTCCAGTAATCCCACAGGTACCCAATGCCATTTGTAGTGGTCTTCATTCTCTTCTGTGCTGAGGAGACAACATCAAATGAACAGGGGCTGGGATGGCATTTGACTCATTTGGACCATTTCTCTCCCTTTGTGGCTGCCTGTCAAAGATGCTTTGGGAACACGGAGCAGGTTTACTCTCGTTTAAGCTCCGTAAGAACCCTGGCGAAGGAAATCTTAGCTAAGCCCCATGTCCTGGAAAGGCAAGCAATGCCACATCCCTGCTCGAGAAGAGAAGCTTCAAACCCCATATAGAAAATCGGCGGTAGAACAGCCACATTCAGGCTCCACCTTAAAGAAACATCTCTCAGCACATTCCCCTTTTGAAAGCCAGGCACTGGTCCATATAACCCTATTATAGAGGGGAGCCCTAGAAATCAGGGCCAACCCTGGGAATCTCCCAGCTCCTAGGGCACTAAGGTTCTCTGAAACTGAGGGCATACATCAGTAGTAGAACCTAGCATGTATAATGAGGCTTTAGATCAGCAACAGTGAGGGAGGGATGGAGGAGGGGAAGGAAAGAGAGAGAGACAGAACCTTTTCCTAAGTTTGGAGTGTGTCCCCTGGAACAGAGAACATTTTCACATGTTAATGGTATCTTGAGGGAGGGTGTTCAGAGATAATTAGGATCAGTAGACAAAGCCATGAAAATGGAACTCTGTGATCCAAGGTGATGATGAGAGGGATTAGGGCGATGGCTCCATTGGTAAAACGTGTGTCCACAAGCTTGAGGACCTGAGTTTGGATCCGAAGCACACATGTCAAAAGCCGAGCACAAGTCTGTAACTGCAGTGCTGGGGAGGAGGGGACAGGCAGCTCCTGGAAGCTTGCTGGCCAGCCAGGCCAACTGAACCAGCAAGTTCCAGGCTCAGCTAGAGACTCTCAGGTAAGTAAATAAGGTGGACAGCAATCAAGAAAAGGTTTACCTCTGGCCTCCATGTGCACATGCGTATAGGTACACATATGTGCACACATATAACTACATACACCATATACATTTAAAAACAGCTGGAGAAATGGCTCAGAGGTTAAGAGCAGTCACTGTGCTTCTTGACACACCTAGAGGTCCTGAGTTCCATCCCAAGCAACCACATGGTGGCTCACAACCATCGGTGCCCTCTTCTGGTGTGCAGGTGTACATGCAGGCAGAACACTGTGTACATAGTAAATAAATCTGAAAGAAGGAAAGGAAGGAAGGAAGGAAGGAAGGAAGGAAGGAAGGAAGGAAGGAAG